CATTTTTAATTTCGAGCAAGTAATTACATTTTATATTTTCTTAATTTATAGAATTTACATATTACTTGATATTTCAATTTTTTACTTTCCAGTACCAGCTATTGCAGCCAATACCTTAGGAAACAATAATGCAATGTAGTTATTTAGCACTTTTGTGTCTGATGTTATTGGAACTGGAGGAACTTTTATTCCGAGGAAAGTAGCAGCGATCGAGAGCGCAATAGCAAAGAATTGAAGTGGAGGAGCAAGAAATAATTCAGCGACACCACTGAAAATTTTCCCAAAGTCAACTCCTCGTGGGCCTTCCTTGACATCATTCCCAGTTTCCGGACGAATTTCATCCTGAAACAAAACGAAACGAGATTTCATTTAATTATATTCCTTATTTGAAGAAATTTCTTAAAAAATATGAAGTTATGAACAATAATTTTCACGAATTTCATCATATATTACACACAATTATTTTTATTTTTCAACATTTTCAAGAGGGAAAAAGAAATTATATTACAAGTAGAAAGAAATGTTTTCCAAGAAATTCTAATGGAAAATTCGCGAAGTTGAAAGAGAATTGAAGTTTTTACTTACAGAATTCACTCCTCCGATTGTCAACAACAAAGTAAAGCCTGCAACACAAAATTTCCATTGTCCATAATACAATTTTAGTATATAAAATCGAAAGGAATAACGTAAATGCACGACACAAATGACGTCTTTACGAAAAATCAAACACTAAAATCTACTTATAACACTTACCGATAATACAGAAGAGGTAGAAGTTGCTCATCTCGTAGTTTGTTTATTATCTGGACGAAGTCGGAGAGAAGTGATTGCCTCTTTCATCCCAATCTACTTTTATAACAGAAAATATTGGCAACGGGGACACGCTACGTGTAGTTCACACGTGCCAAAACAACTGTGATCTAATATTGATAATTACACAGATGTCACTAATATTCTACACCAAAAATCGTTAATTAATTTAGGTATTTAATTGTTTGGAAAATATTCTTATCGAATCTATAGAGATGAAGAAAACGTCATATTTGAGAGGAAAATGGAGGGGTTCTCTCCACCCGGAGTACGGTTTTAGTATATTAATTTAAAACAAAGTATAAAAGTTAAGTAACGCGTGTTAATCTATATAAATATAAAATCGAATTAGTGTTTGCGTGATACTCGATCACGCAAACAATTCCTACCGATTCCTACGAAACTTTGTATACGTATTCGAGATGGACACAAGCTACAAAAGTTTAAATTATTCGATTTTTCTTCTGTAAATGATTACATAAATTGTTACTTCTGAATGCATTCTATTGTATTAAGAATGAATTTCGAATGACTTTCTTCTGTTGATAGAAAATAATTGCGACTACGTGCAAACTGATTTGTCAGTTCTTTATTCTTTAAGTACTGTAATTTCTTTATAAGAATATAAAACTGTGGCCAAATTTGTATTCGTTTGAAGAAAACACAAATAAAACGTAATGCGTTCGGAAAATAAAGTTCATAAATACAACAGAAAAAAATACAAGACAAAGCAAATTGTGTTCCAAATTGAAGAAATTCATATTTAATTAAAAATTCCATAAGAGCGGATGAAGAATGGTTTTCTAGGAATGTGTATTATGTGTAACAGTAGAACACAGCAATGTGTATTCGGCACAGCTGACGACCGTGTTAGTTGTTGGGGAACGAACCGAACCCATTTTTAATAACGAGATTCTGTAAAAATGCCGGCATAACCAGTTTACTAGGCTGGAGAATTAGATTTAGTTTAATTGTAAACCTTCTGTCCTTAAAACGCTACCGACAGATGATAAGTTCCCCGTGTGCTTATTTAAAAATCTGGATTTTAGTAACACTCGACGACCGTTTTACGAAATTAGATCTATTCACGAACACCTATTATAAATGGGAACAAATAAGTAAATATCATTTTAACACATAAAGTACGAGCGCATTTATAAATCATGAATTTGGAATGTCGTAACACTAAAAATAAATGTTGTAATGTAAATAAATTCTGAATAAAAAACTTTCAAATGGCGCTGAGAAAGTATTTGTACACGTTATGGATGGTACATATACGTGTACGTAAATTCAATATGTTAACCGGAAAAATCATTGTTAACGTTGATAATTGTTAAACCGAAATTACACTTGTCGATTCAATTACTAAACAAGAAAAAGTTGGTTTACGAACAACTGATAGAAGGATTGAAGGACCTTAATTAATTCAAACCAAAGGAACAAAGAATTAGTTAGACTGCTTTACAGAAATTGTGATAAATGTGAGGATTGAGTTTAAACTCAAAAGTATTTCTCTCCTAGTTTATTGATATAAACGGAGTGGACAGTTAAACTTTGTTTTAAAACTGCCTTTAAAAAATATAGTCATATAACGTTCGGAATTNACGGAAAATGTAATTAATTGTAATAAATTAAACTTTATGGTAAAATGAGATTTGTGTTTGCTCGTTTTCTTTATTATCCTATTTTCATATTGTTATTGGCAGCTGGTTTCACTTTCCTGATTTCATTTGTTGTTAGGAAGGTTTTTTACAATATAAATTTCGTAACACCTGAAAACGAAAACACGTAAGGTAAACGCACCGGTAGTGGACACTCCACGAGTAGTGTAATAATCGGCAGCTGGCATTTATACAGAAGAGACGTGGTGTTAACAGGTGAAAAATCAAATATATGCCGCAACGTAAATTAACTTAATTTCTTACCCTCCCGCTCCAATAGAATTTTGATTGATCTCCCGTTGTCTGATTAATTTCGAAGTTTGAACACCATTGATATTGTTCACCTTATATTTCTAGTGTAGATAATCTTGAAATATGGTGCAGAGTATGTAAATTGTTCTAAAATATTATAAATTACTAATTGAGCCCTGAAAACTAAATTTTTGTGGTGTACTTGTAAGTTTTTATAACGTGATCGTGATTGAGCGCGTATTAAATTTGGCCAAGAAATGTGACCAGAAAATAGACATTAAAAGAAAATTTTACCGTTTAAATTTTAATACATAACACGTTCCCGTGAAACGATTTTAAAGTAATATATTTCATTTATACCGTTTTAAACATTGGTAGATATATCAGGATAGAAAGCAACATTTTTATATGAATTTGTATTGTATTTTGATCCCACAGGGTATTGAATTCCAGCACTAAAAGCGCTGCAATCTTCGGCTATTTCTCGGGCTACTCAAATATTTTACGTTTTTGATACTAAATTAACATCTGAAGTATAATTTTTTATTGTTTTTATATTTTTCAATAAATTTATTTTGTTTGTACAAAATAAAAAAATAATTTTTAACGATACAATAGTCTTCGTTAGGCTTAACATCGACGAAAATTCAACGC